ATGCGATAAAGTGGCAAGACAAAGAAGCAAGGAGATCGAGGTCGTTTAAATTTGATGCGCTTACGTAGTAGAACTCTTTTCAGCAAATGATATATGCAACGAAATGGCTTTAAATTATTTCTGCTTTGAAAATTGTGTACGGATCAAATGCTTTCTTTCACTCAACGTATACATCTGAACAAACCGATTCCAGTGCGATTTGGACTCCGATTTTATTGTGAAGTTTGTCTTGTTATGCTCATTCGAAGCGCCCTCAATAAACAAATGGATTTGATTGGCCAAAGGTTACAGCAGCCGCTAAAATCAAATCCATATGAATCACCAACAAATGTCTTGCAACCCGTTGACACATCAAAACACATACGGATATAGCATACATACAGCATACACACACACCTCATCGATAATATAATAAGCGACGATGAGTCGTTTCGTTATCAGTCCATTTTATCATTAATTAATTTTATTTTTTCTTATTTAAATTTTGTCGTTTAATTAACGTTTTTGGCTCTGTCTCGGTTTTTTTCCACTGCGTTATGGGCCAGCTAATAAGCTGTGTGATTTTGTGCTTGAATCGATGTTTCTTATCTGATAAACAAAAATGTCAAACGAAAACAATTAGATTTGTCATAAAGTTTGAACTTCTTATGTGTGTGTTTTTTCACTTCATGTGGTTTGCGTCTAAATTTTCTAAGTTTTACAAAGGAAAAAATAAACATCATGGCGCTGATGACATTGAAAGGTTATATCTTTTTTCGTGGATTTCGAAATGATGAGCATCTTAACAGGTGGTGAATAATAGGAGAAGAGTGCGATTTTGAATGGAGTTTCTGTTGCGGATAAAGATATCATTTTGGACAAAAAGATTTACTTTTTTGATATAGAATATACGATAAGATCTATAGCTTCGATGAGTTTTACTTCAGGTGAATTTGTCTGGATTTTTTTTTCTTCTGCGGACTTCTTGAATATTTTTCTGTCTTGATATTTAAAAAGTATCATCAAGTGACTCACATGTAATATGCACTTTTTGTGTACATCACTGTAATGGATATGTGTGGCGAATAAATTTTCGGGACCACAAACGAAAAAAAAAAATTGAAAAAAATTAAAAGCTCTTGTTCCAAGACTTAGATAACAAAAAAATGTGGATTCGATACCCTACAATTTCACTGGACTTTTTTTTCTTTATCTCTCTCTCTCTCTCTCTCTCTCTCTCTCTCTCGTTGGTAAATAAATGTAAACTTCTTTTTTGAATGAACAATTACGGATAATCTGGCACGTATCCATGCCATCGAGTGTACTGGCATCGCAAAAGATCAGGAGGAAGAAAAAAAAAATATTCGGCTGAGAGCCAGCAGGGAAGTAATTTTGGTTCAATGCACAGAAAGAGTGTAGCAAAAGAGAGCGATGAACAAAAATTGAGCACAGCAAAAACTGAGTTTCGATACATCGAAAGCGAATTATATATTTTGCTGCTCATTTTTTTTTATCGATCGGTCATTTCGGGTAATCAATATAGTATGCACGGGCTGTATACAATTGGTGTTGTGAATTCAAGGGAAAAAAATAAAGAGCATAGCAGCAAGTTGAAAGCTCTATCTCTCTCTCTCTGACTGTTGGTCGTATGGTTCGATTTGGTGAAGGATGGTGCTGCGATGAAACTGGAGATGAAACAAAACAGAGACACAGCGAGCCGTGTTAACGGCAATACATTGTTGCGTGCACTTCTCTCGCCCTTTCTATCTCTCTCTGTCGTTCCCTCTTTCTCCGCTGCATTCCGGTTTGGGCGAATGCACAATGCGTTTTTCTCTTCCTGAAAATTGTTGTGTGCCGTTGTGTTATTGCAGCTCATCGAATTAAATCAGAGCATTAACTTTCAATTCTCAAGAACAATCAGTGATAAATATAATTTTTTTTTCGGTCGGTTATGCCTGTCGGTTGGGTTCGCCCATTAAAACCGTTTTATATCGTTTATGTATGCGCTTTTATGTACTTATTGTTTTTCGCGCATATTGAGCGCTTCACCTAGTTTTCGTCAATCGACGTTTCGTTCGTGAGTTGGAGCGTGTGTGCGTTTTTGGGTTGATTTTTTTTTTCTCGAATGCTTTGTTTTCCAAAAAATAAAAAAAATAAAAGGAGATACGAAATAATGGACTAATTTGTGTAGAAAGATTGCTGTGTTTTTTTTTTTGGTGAAATGAAATGAAACGCACAGCAGAATAAAAAATCCCTTTAAAAATGAATTTCAATTCATTTGGAGTTAAGTGCACGTGATGAATATCGACTCTAGTATTTTCAAATGAGGAGAGACGCATTAAAGATGGTTCAATGGCTTTACCTTGATAATGGCCACAACCAGGGCAGTCCGAATTTCTTCGAGCACGTGCATTTTGTTTTCCTTTCGTTGCATCCTGTCGGCAAATTCTCATTATTTTACGAGTATTCGCACAGCCAAGATTTTAATATTTGTTTCTTTATTTTCTGGATTAATAAAAAAAAAATTGTGAGTGCAAAAACGTACGAAAACAATCGTTTTTCATTTGTTGTTATTTGTGCACCGAATTCAAGATCAGATACGACGAAACATTTAATAATTGTCCATTTTATGTATTTTTTTCCTCTCGTTTTTGCTTTAAAGAGAGATAGAGAGAGAGAAATTGCGCCAACAAATACTGTAAACTTTACTTTACCACAATATTAAGCGATTGTGCAATCGATTTAGCCCGAGACCATACAAATTTACAATGGAAATGCCTTGAGAAATGTGCAGGCACAAAATCAACGACACACACATTCATTTCATATCGATGGCACGTAGTATCAGTGGAATGTAGTTTTCATCACGAAGTTTTTGTCCAATCACCTCTGAAAATTGTAACGTTGATTGCTTCCTTAGTTCGTTGTCATCTGCTTTATATATATATAAAAATATGTGCCTCTATCAATGGTATGCGCTTTCATTGTGAAAAAAAATCAAACGAATGTCTTTCTATCTGGAATGTGCTGTGGTTTTGATGTGCTTTAATGGTCAATCTCAGATGGCTTCTTGAATTAACTCAAATGCAACGACGGCAACAACAAAATATTGGCCTTTGATTGAGTTGTTTCCAAACTGTTTGTACATTTTTGTAGAGGTTTTCACTTTTCGTTTTGGTTTCGAATTTGATGACTTTTGTCTGAAAATGCAGAGTATCGTGAGCATTTTTTGAAAACCGTGTAATTGATCTGACGACCATATACCATCAAGAACCATTTTTGCGATAGTGTGCCGTTTTTTCTCTTCTTTTCGTTGCAATGGAAAAAATACGAAAATTTTAAGCGAAAAAAAACGAGAACTGAATCTTTCATATTGGAGCCAAAACGAATAAACCCAGACACCACAACGTTCTATCGAATATTAAATTTTAATCGGGTAATTTGATACTATTTGCTCGACTAATTTTTCGATTTTACCATGGGTGCAAATACGTGCAAGAGTCGAGAGCATAACAATCGTATATGAACCGCAACTATCGACAAACGCCTAAGTATTCGGCAATGAATGGAGTGCGCAAGCAAGAGAGAGAGGGAGAGAGAGAGAGAAGCAAAAAATAAAAGCAATATCAATAACTCCGAAGTAAATGTTCAGAAGAGGTGTTGTAAGATGACAACACGCAATCGCTAAGAAAATAACTAACAGAATGAAATCAAATGTGGGCAATAACAATCTAATCGAAGTTTAAATGAAAATAAGAAGAAGAATAAAACACTCGGTGAAGTTCGTGTCGATTTCCTGCCTCTTGTTTTCTTCTTCTTTCTGACTCTGTTTCTGTCTCTGTCGTTTGATCTGCGACTTTGGGATGGGATACCTTAATATCGGAGTTTAAGGTGCCACAATCTGTGGTAACGACATGCATTTTACACAGTGTGTGTGTGTGCATGTACGTGAAGCGAGTGAAAAACGACAGCAGCAACAAAGCAAACAAAGAATTGCACTAGACATTCGCGTACCAAAGCCATGTCGACATTTCTTTGGTCTGCATGCCAAGGGAGCATTCATGGTTGCTGTTGTTGTTGCACATCACATAATCCTATTAAAACAGTATCGATGACTTCATTCGCACCGTCCCTATGTTGCATTGCAAAAACCATGCAAAGAAAAAAATGATCGCAAATAAGGAAGAAATACGAAGAAAAATGAAAAAAAAGCATTCAAAACAAAGCCAAAGACACAAAGAATCACAAGAAAGAAAACAATCTCAGAAGAACGTCAAGTAAAACAATGTTTGTGTAATAACGAAACTATCAAATTACGCAGTTATGGTGTAATGTAATGTTATCTGTTTGGCTCGTATGCATACACAAATACACAGACACACAATCCTCTGGCTTTCCGACAATCAGCGCGTTTTTCGGTGCATTTCGCACCGCTCAATCAAATAGCGAACCGCATAAAGTTTGGTGCGCAACAACAACACATTTCATCTCCATTCACTCCAGTCGATAAATGTGTGTCTTTTGTATAATTTTCTCACATTGTCAACGGCACACATTTCAATTCGGCGTAAATTACCGGTGGATTGGTGACCAAAAAATGTGTTGCAATAAAAACAAAACAGCAACGAAAAGACGAAGAATGAAGAGAAAAAAAACGCACACACACAATTTCGAACAATTGCACTTTTATACTTGCTTCTTTCAACATGCGCTGCAACAATACAAACTACCCTAACAAGGTGTATTGAAACGGGACGATGGAACCGTTCATAAAGGAAAAGGTTGACAGTTGAACCGTTTAAAATTCGTTATCCTTCACACTTGGTTCGTCTATCGTATTGTTCCCAATCAAAGGACATTCGCTTGTTGATTTATGAAGATGCCATTGATTCGCGTTCGTCTGTTCTTTTCGTGTATTTTATGAATCATAATAAAAGAAATATGAACATTGTTGAGTTGAGAGAAAACAAAAATGTTATCGTAAAAATTCGAATAAACTGTTACGGTTCTTTTCTTTGCAGGCGACGTGCCAATTCAAATCCAGATTCACCGATCGAAGCGAACGCTTCAGAGACTATACATCATGTGCCATCACAAAATACACAATCCGGTTACCTACCAACGAGGTAAGTCAAAATCGCATCGCATTGCATTTTCACGTTATTAAACGCTATTTAGCGGAATGCGATCTGGCAAAACTGTCGATCGAAATTAAGATATAAATGAAAGTTATTTAGCAGAAAATTATCGCTTCAGTTTTTATCAACAGAAGAAGAAAAAAAAACACGAACGCAAAGCGCACATTTAATCGTCCTTTTGACCTTCTGTGTGTGTTTGCTGCTCATTTTCTAATCAAAAACACTCATTTGCTTCGTCATTGTTGCTCTATGTTTTATTTCTGCTTCTTTTTTTCTCGCTTCTCTTGCATAGATTTTTCGAACATCCATTGACTGCAGCTACATCAGCCATGCTCAACATATCGGGTGCTAATAATAGTTCGAATAACGAAGATGAATCAGGTGCAACAACAGTATCAGCAGTCACAACGGCCACGACGAACGTGAGCATTGGTTCGTTGGGTACACCGCATCAAGTCCATCAGGTTCATAATCCAAATGGTAGCACATCGTTTGTGTATGAATATTACAAAGTGCCGGATAAAGATAATATTCAATGGGCGTAAGTATACATTTCAAATTGTATTTCGTTCTCTTTCACTCTCTCTCTCTCTCTCTCTCTCTCTCTCTCTCTCTCTTGCTCGTTAGTTTGATTTCATATTCGTAGGTACGCGATCGGCTGATGTTCTTGCCTTAACTTGACCATGTCTTTTCCATTCGATTGGCACAATGCATGCATAAAGTGTCGATTTTAATATGATTCCTAGTTAAATGTGATATTCGGCCGATTACTTTCGTCAGATTTTTTGTGTTGTTGTTGTTGTTGATCTACACGCCACGTATCAGTTACCTCGGGCGCGCCTATTTTCATAGCATTCCAATTTGATTATGAAAAACAACAAAACAAAAGCAGAAATAAAGAGACCTCAACATCGTCTCTTAATTCATACATTTTAATATCAGTCGTTCTTTTGTGTCCATACACTCGGGTGATGGTGCGACATAAATGCATTTCCTTGCAGCAGGAGAAAAAAATCCCATACTTTATCGACTGCATTTTCATTTCTGAAAGCGGATTTTGTTAGATTTTCACATATGAATTATGTATTTGGAGAGAGAGAGAAAAAACCACGGATTTTTTTTTTTATTGGCGGCCACATTCACAGCGAATCAATGAGATACATTGTTCAAATTCATTCGTTCTTTCTATTTGTTGCCTCTCATTCGTACTCGTTTCACTTTTATTGGCCATCCAATCTAAGCTCCTTCCACATACACACTTGCTTATTCATCGTTTCAATAGTGTTGTTTACCATTTTATCAACAAAACCGCAGCAATTCGAAAAGTTCAGCTCCAAATTAAGAATACCATAAATTGTCGCATTAGAATCGTTTCTTTTGAATCAAACGATCAATAGACTTAGGCGTCCAATCAATAGGCTGAAGTGCTGCCGACTGATTGTTCCATCAAAATAATATTGCAATTTAATTTCATTCACAAATGAATCGTTGACGTCAAACTGTTGCCATTGATTCAACGGATAAGAAAAATCGCGTCATTTCCATGACTAATTCAAGAAGAAAAATCAAAACAGAGGATATTCTCGATTGAAACGGTGAAATTCAAACGAATCTATCCGTGGAAATTATGTGAGTAGGGCCGGTCGTTTCTTTTTTTAGTTTTAAATTCACATCGGCCGAATCGGGATCAAACGCTGAGAAAACTGAACAAACACCAAATCCCAATAGCCGCTTTTGACTCGAAAACGAAACGGATGAAGAAATTGTTGGAATCAATGTTATTAGAAAACTGCGCATATGAGATCAGACACAAATAAAACAAAAAACCAAAAACAAAAAATTATATGTAATTCAATTCGAAACGAATGTCATAATTTTAAAATTTATCGCTTTAATTATAATTCAGTAGTACGTATATCGAATGATATTATTTTTCTCTTCGATTGGCGTTCATTAATTTCTCTCGCTCGCCTGCCTCTCGGTCTTGCACAGAATGGATTTCATCTCAAAAGATACAGAGAGAAAAAAAATGCTTTGCTTGATTTCAGAATTAAATGCAATAGATCGTCATCGTCGTATGTTTTTTAATAGGAAGCAGACAAAAAAAAAGACTAAATGAAAGAAAAAAAGATCGAACCCAAAAACATTTAGAATGAAAACGACGTCGTATCGAACAATTTATTGCCTTTTAAATGTTTCTTTTTTTCTCCGTCTCTTTTTTGCTTCGGCTATATCGTTGTTTTTTTTCCCATCTCTTCATTCGGTAAATTATCATTATCATCGACCGTCGAATCGAATAGATGAAAGTATTCTTGGCGATAATAATTTAAATGTGTGCCATTGAAATTCAAAAAGAATGAAACACCGAATGAAAGGAACAAATAAAATCTATGATATAAAATTATATAAAAAGTCTGCTTGCGCGCGCGTGAACGTACTGAATGGATTGGAACCGTGAATAAAAGCGATACATTTTTTGTTTCTTTTGCTGTGTGTATTCAAAAAATCCATGGTTATTTCGGATTCGCTTTTTTTCTTCCTCTGATTAGAGTGTCACTTTATCCGAAAAACTCCACGTTTTTGTGCTTTTTTATTGATACTTTGGAGACACAAAAGCAGGTAGGACGCCGAAAATAATCAAATGAATACCAAAACACCATACGACTTTACATTTGATTTGAGTTCGTTTTTGTTTCTTCTTCTTCTTTTTCAGTTTTCGATTCGCTTGATATCAGAGCATCTTAATGGAATTTCAATTTCTAACAAATTTAACGACTGCCTCGAATGCCTCACTTTGTTCTTTGCTCTTTTGATTTTTATCAACTGTGCTAATAAAGTCACCGAATTGTCAAAACCATTTCGTTCATTCACAATACGCGTGAACTACGGACTATTTTCTAGCAACCAAATTCGAAACTTTGGTGATTTTAGATGGAATAAAAGTTTGCATGTGTGTTTCTGTGTGTGTGTGTGTGTCGATGATGGCCAACAGATTAAATCATAAAATTTGGTTTTATTTCTTTGAAGATCTGATGATTGAATAGGCAAGTCACTTCAAGTGTGTGTTTTGAATTCAAAGTGTATCACAATTGGATGTATTCGTGAATAGCACGGGTGTTTATATGGTTTTTTTCATATTTCCTTTCCAAATCAATAGATTTATGAAAGTTGCCCAGAACTTCGATGTTTTAGCTTGTAAAATGGAAGAAAACACGCAAAGACGGTTTACAACGTCCACTTAATGAGAGCATCCAATAAATTTGCCCGAATCGTAATTTTCCGGTACCAGGATCCATAATAGCAATAGTCAATGATATGCCAATTTTCGCACAAAATCCATCAATTCAATGGAAACTAAATGAAATTAAACTTTACAACCTTATCTGGAGATAACATCAATTGGTTCGAAGGGATATGGCAATCACTTTTGATTCAAATTCTTTCGTTGCCATAAAAATAGAAGCGTATTGAATTTTTGTATGCATTTTTGTTCTCTTTCGTTCAAAAGATTAATAGTTAAACATATGTATCCAATTAATTTGCCCGACCAAACTCAATATCCTCCAGTTACTGTCTAGCATCTTTTTTTTATCCGCGATCAAAGATAATTTTTCCTATTCAAACGCAATGAATGCAAACAGAAGAGAGAAGAGGAAAAAATCAGTTCTTGCTGAGCTAATTAAAATATTCCGTTAGGAGAGATATGTGTGTGTGTTGTTTGTTGCGCCCCTTTTAACCGCAGCCAACATCAACCCTTCAATGTTGTTATTATTTGGAAAGATTGAGCCACAATTCTGTTTGTAACACGGGGTTGCTGTTGCTTTGCCTCATTTCCATCTTTCGCCAGATCAAGATATATACAAATGATTCGAACCAAGACATACGAATCAAATAATTTATGTCAGTCAAATATTCAAATGAGTTTCGTTAGCGCGAAGTGATAGAATTTCGAATCGTCGAAAAGATGAAGCGAAGGAAAGAAAGCCATCGAAAAGCGTATTGCTATAAGCAAAACTGTTGAAAGAAAAAAGAAAATAACAACCGAAATCATGAAATCGAAATCGGATCCGTTCTACGTGCATACGCGTTGGGATGAATTTTTTGTTTCTGATGCGTACCGTTTGTTTGATCAGTTGATATGCGATGAAAGGTTAAATGTTGCACTGTCAATATTGTATAATTTCATAACATTCCACAGCATCTATGTCAAATATGTTACAGTCTCCGAGTGTCATGTTGCGCGAGCGAACTGATGCTGATGATGCCGTTACACATGCAATCAGATCCATTTCGGTATTCAATTGAGCGGAATATGAATTTTAAATGAGACCATTTTTCTACTGCTATTCCGTTTTGAAATATTTGTACACTCGGAGCGATGGGCCATTGCGGAAAATTTTCATTGCGGAATCAGGAAACGCCAGCAGCACAACAGCACGTAAACAACACACATACACGCGGAATAATTTTATGTGTTTTTTTCCTTCGTTTTTTTATTCATTGCTTTCGATGTTGTGTGTATCGAGAATAAACAAGAGATTAGTTTCGATTGTTGCAAAATAGTCTTCTTATCATCATCGATTCGGAGGATGAAATCCGCAAAAATAAACAAATAAATCATTCGATTTTTTGTTTTTGTCGGCTGGAATCAAAAGAACTCTCGCATAAAGTGAGCGAATGTGTACGAGTAAAAACGTATTTATATATGCGCGCGCAACGCGCACAAGAAGAGGAGAAAAAAAGCCCCGCCGACTACGTGCAAATTCACACGCACACAAAGTTAACAGTATAATAAGATCACGAAGAAATCATTATTATTTATTGGCGATTTCATTTGTTTATAATCCACAATTTTATGCACATATGATTTTTCCTTTTATGTATTCAATGCTCGAACATTCGAATTCCACATAATTGTGTGCCTTTAAAGTAGATCTTGGTTCGGATTCAGGTTCGGTGTTGTGCTTTAAGCTCTAAATTTGATTTTGCCATGGTTTGGTTGTGGATATGTATTTGCACTCCGTTACCATCATCATAATTTCATTGCAATTATTTTAACGTCTTCTTTTAATATTTCCAACGAATGATCCGTTCTCACCTTTCTCGTTCGAATAAAATAGAGCCATGCTAGCTCATGAATAAAATCGAAATGAAAAGACGATTTTCCCAATCGATTTAATTTCTATTTAAATATACAAATCAATCAAATGATCGGCAACCATATGTGATGGCCCTATTATTCAATACATTTTTTCTTTCTTTCTTCTCTCGTTTTGGTTTTGGTGCTGATTTGATTTGATTATCTGTGAATTTAAACGAATGTTTGCCCATAAAATATTGCTGCACTTTTAATCGGTTCACACATTCTACACATCTCTTCGCCATAAATTCTCATTTCAATCCGAAAAGGTATGAACAAAGATAAGATCTTCGATCCGCACAAAGTTCGTTCGTTCAGTTGTTGCTTCATTTTTTTTTGACACAATCCGAAATTCAAGATAAAATGAAGAAAAAACCAGATAAAGGAGACAGAGATGGAGGATTTTAAGGTGATTTGATTGCACTACATCATTCATATTCGGCTGCATAGCACAACTGAAGTTGAGAATTTTTAACCAGCCGGGATATGACAATAAAATTCCCGCCGAACAAAAAGCCATTGCACTGATGGCACAGAACGACCGAAGCCGTCGAACAACGTTGTTAATTCGCTGGCAAAATACTTAATATTCAAGTTATCGTATCAAAGAGCGAAGTCACGGCTGAGGACATGGGAAGTTTCTTCATTGTTGTTGTTGTTGTTGCTATGTTTGTTTGTTTGTTTTTTTTTTCGCTTGCATCGCGGCATTTTGCAAAAACCCGGTGCACAATGTGCAGTGTAAATGTCGAAGAGTGCGGAAAAATCTATCTACACACGATTACGTTACGCGCGATCAAAAGGAAGACGTGCGCGAGTCTTTCGTTTGGCGCAATTTTCTCTCTCTCTCTCTCTCTCTCTCTGTCTCTCAGTTGCGATTGTTGTTGCCGTTGTTGTGTGTATATATATTCATTTTTGCTCAACACTTTTGTGTAATGTGTATGCATCGCTATGTTTTGATCTACATCGAATTGAAAAACCTGTTGAATTGTTCTAATTCCTGATTAACTCGGTAAGGAGTGAGAATATAATGAATGGGAAAAAATACGACTGAAATACACTCAGAAAAAGAAGAAGAAAAAGAAGAGCAGCGACCCAACAACCGAACGAACAAGTGTCGGCAGTCGAGAGAAAAAGAAATCTGGTTTTTGGTAGCACAAAATCATATGGTAATCCATAGTTTGACATACAATATCCAATATGATGCTCTTCTTCATATATATATTTGTGCAAGTGTGTGTATGTGTGTGTGTGTATGTGGTGCACGGGAGCCCGCGTTTACTCACCGTGTTATGACGACACACACCAAGTTTTTCGCTCTTTTGGGCTGGTGATTTATTTGCACATTCGCTATTTTTGTGGGTGATTATTGTGATTCGTCATAAAATAAATTAATTTATTGTCAATAGACTATTGTATTGACATCATTCTGCTTGCACTCATGCGGCATTAAATGCATTATTTTCCGCATTCAATTCGTATTGTTGGCAATTGCAAAATGGGATTTTAAAATGTTTGTTTAGGTCGTAATTCATGCCACTTAAAGTAATTCATTGAGCAATTTTATTGCATTGATCATTTAATGCTGTGTCAAATGAATTATACATTTTCGACTTTGTTTTGATACCTTTCCAATTCTCTTCGTATTTGTTGCAATTTCTTTTTATTTCCTTCACCTTTTTCTTCTTCCGAGCGCATTGTTTGTTTTGTTGCGGCATGTGCCAAACCGATCGAACATCGTCGTCGTCGACGTCGACAATAGGACAAAATGATTTTGCTAACAATTTCCACTGTTTTGCCAAATTGTGAATTGGTGCAAATAATCCTCTTGCATTTGTATACGCATTCCCTATGCATCGATTCGTTTGCTTTCATTCAGTCATATCGACCGTCAGTATATGCATTTTTGGGGCGACACACCGGAATGTATGTGCGGTATGTTACACAGTGTCTTTTGAACGGCAATAATTCGGTTTCAATTTGAATCGGCGCAAAAAGAAAACATACACATACACACACTGATTGAATGTAAAGTTTGCGTCGTCTAGCCCTAAATGTGCATCTAAAGGTAATTTAAATTCACATAAATTTTTCGAGATTCGGTGATTTGTGCATCGGCATTCATTACCTATATGAAATTGTGATGTGCTCTGAATGTATGCTTACGTTTTTTTTGTGTCTTTTCCCAATAAATCATTAATTTAAACTTCCATTAAATAGATTGACTGCGCTTTTTTGCCATCTCGTTTGCATTAATGCAGTCAAAGTTTGAGAGTCCCTCGATAGAAAGAAACTAATAGAGAAAACGTAGAAAAAAAAAAGAAATCACATTGAGCAGAGAGAAAAAAGAGCAAACGATAGTCGATTGCATATGCCTTTCTTTTTATTGCTTTGCTCATGCCAAACATCAATTCCACTTTCGATCAGAGTTGACTTAAGGATAGGTACACAAAAAGATGCATTTTATAAATCAATAAATCATACACAATGTACATTGTAATTCACACCAAGAAATTATTCTTTTTACCCCTTCTTCGGTGCGGTTGCTGTTGCTACTGCTCTCTTTTTTTATGGCTATGTGCATCGAATCGCTTGAGAACAAATGCAACGACGATTCGATGCGATGATTCAGCTTCTGTGCAAACATGTGACAAACGCACTAAATGCAATCTGTCGAATGACAAACAACAACAACAGCAACAACGAAAAACGCACATACAAAATCGATGCATGCGATAAATGCGCAGAGAACCGATAAGACCGAAAAAGCAAATGAAGCGAGACTTCGATCTTGTTCATCGTTTGAATGGAAATCTACGTATAAAACGAGCAAAAATTCAATTACGACAAAAAGCAACAAAAAATATCCACACATTCAACCAATAATTGCACTTTGAGATCGCATCACCGCATGCTATATGTTCATATCGTCGCAAAAAGTGACACCAAAAAATCGCGTCTTATGAATCAAGGTGTTGTTTAGTGTGTTTGTTTTTTTTTTCTGTTGTTCAATTTTCAGAACATTTGATCGATATGAACGCAGTGACAAAAACACGAGAGAGGAATAAATTCAGTAACAAACAATTATTTTGCCTCGTTTACGTTTTTTCAACGTTTTGGAAAACTATGCAATTCATCGGTATTGTTACTCTCTATCGCATGCTCATTTTCATTTCTTCAAAGATATTTCAGTTAATTTTTTTTGTGTAGTAGTCGTTGTTGTTGTCGTCGTCGCTGTCGTTCGTTGCTTACGAACAGTTTCCTTTTTAATATTTTTCTTTCCTCTCAACACATTTTGTTCTTTTTATTTCCAGTGCCCCTACCGCAAAGATAAATGGACAAACCACGCCTTTGGATGTAACTGGCCTATCGCAAAATGAAATACAAGCACTATTGCTCGGATCACACCCATCGACACAAAGCGTTAACGTGAAACGAGAGCCCGAAGACTTACGTAAAGATCCGAAATGTTCGCGCAATCAAAAGGTAATGAACAAAAACACTAAGTACTTTGTATACATTGCGCACAGTAGAGTAGAGTACGCACATTGAACGCTACATACCGATACAGACTCACACACACACGCGCGCGCGCGCACACACATACACACGTCGTTGTGATGCCGTGCGCGCGCACGTGAGGCCTAGCTTTGTCGTGTGGTTCAGTGTTACTGGCGACCACAACGCTTGACGCATGCCAGAAAATGTTTTTTTCAACGCTGACGAAACAGAATGCAATCACAGATTGAATCAGTTCTATGTAGAGCCTAGAATCGAAGAGGAAAATATGAGCGAGTTCTCATTACTCGCTTCTCTTCCAATCGAATCATATGTACAAATCTCGACTGTTTCACATGTTTTTTTGCGCGATGATTTCGGCGCCAATTGCTATGCACATTAATCGGGGAGACTATTGGTTGATTCGTTCGTCCACTCGGCATTCGTTTTGCATGTATTAGATGTGCGGCGACATATCAAACTGAATTGGGAAGCAAATGAATATTTGCGCATAGGTTGTGTGGTGGTAAATAGGCAGTAGTCTAGCTTTCAACTAGCGTAGAGAACAGCACACACACAACAAATGCAGCAACAAACAATTACGATCATTCGCAGAGAAATTTCGTGTTGACCGCTTTCTTTTCCAATGATTTTGCTCGTTCATTATTTCATCACACGCACACATGTCGCACTCAGAACGGCACTTATGTTGTAAATTTTTGGCATTTTTGTGACCGTTTCTCGACACTTTGATTTCATTTTACGGATTATGCTTTAATTTTCGCTTTGTTTCTGTCCCTTCATTGGCTGTGTGTGTGTATGTGTGCATTTTTTGCCTCGATGGAATAATGAAGCCGAAACTCGGGCCTTTTGTTTTGGATTAAAGGCCAAGTAGCCACAACGTGTGCAAACCGAAAATTTCATCACTTTTTTGTTTTGTCTTTTGTTTTAAATGACATAAACACCGAACCGAACTGTTCATCAGAATCAGTGTTTCAAACACAGAAAATGCGCGAAATAAACGAAACACACAAGGAAAAGAGAACGAAAAAAAATTTGGTGAATCATTAAAATGTCGTATAACGTTGTTTCAGTTGAAAAATTGAAGCACACATCAAACAATCGTACACTTACTCACACACATTACATTTGGTAGGGCTTAGAAGATGTCGTCAGGTCAAACAAATGAACAATAGCAAACGCAATAATAAGTTTTATGATTTCGAATGTACTTAGCGTCACATTTCGACTTCGTTCCACGACAACAACAAAACAGTAACGCAGCAGCTACAAAAAATACACACAGTAGCTCAAAGGTTTATTAATATACTTATATTCCATATTCGGTATGGTTGTGACCTTTTTTATGTCCTGACTGTGCGTTCTTCCTAATTCAAATTAAGAAAGAAAAAAAAAAATTCTGAAAATTGTCTACGTTTTGAAATGATGTAATCGCTTCAGTTTCTATATGATTATCGCACAGTTTTTCCCACTAAAACTCATTTAATTGAGTGTTCTACTGACTTTGATGCTGGCTGTGAATTTCGGATTCGTCTTCGAACGAAACACTCTGCGATGCAGACACAACGACGCAGGCGATTCACAATTCTAAGATGATTTTTTTTGATAAGAATTTTATTTTCGACCATTTCGAGCACGGTTTTTACCCCACGTATGCATGCCCT